TATGATGATTTAATATAAAATAAAAGCAAATAATAATAAATATAAAAATTAATAAATAAAATAAATAAAATTTCTGAATAATAAAATAATACTAGAAAAACAATAAAATATAAGAAATAATAACAATATTAGAAATAAAGATAATAATGGAACATAGATAAAAGAAGAGTATATATGTTTGTTGTCATTGAAGGGGAAGGGGAGGGAAAAAGTAGAGTATATACAAACGAGTGAAGCATGTGAAGGCTGTGAAGACATGGAAGGGGAATTCAAATCGGCAAATTGATGAAACTTTCCGCAGCGTAACAAATTGTTCGGGAATATTAAATGCTTTCAAATAGGTTATTATAAATACTGTTACGTTGGCTAATATTATAATAATTAAAGTATTTTATTTAGCCAGAATTAAAATAAAATCTGAATTACTTTCGACAAACAAACAAAAACGAAAAAACAATTGAAAAAAAAAATTGAGACAATTTTTTTTCAAAATTAATTATTTTGTCAAAACAAACAGAAAGTTTTTGAATCATTCAAATCGGATTTTCTTACCTACACAATATATTTTTTAGTTAGGAAAATATATTCATAAATAATATTAAATAAAATAAGTATAAAAAGTAAAAAGTAAAAGCACATACGTATTTATAGTGGGAATAGCAAATATCGGTTGGTGGTGAGCATGGGTTGAGCTGTATTGGAAGATCAGCAAAAATTTTTTCTTGACGTGTTCACGTAAATCATGAAGCTTTCGTGTTATTTCTGCTGGCACAACATAAAAAATGATCGAAATCTAGAAAAATGGCGGGCAAAGTGAAACATATATACGAGTGATAAACTAACAATAGGTATAGCAAAAACAAACGATCTTAATACTTTTTATAGAAAAATTTAGATTGTCCATGAAAAAAAAAAAAAAAATGTCAAAAAGTTAAGACCGTATGTGTTTTTTAATTTGCATTATGAAAAAATGAAATAAAAAAAAGTTCTGTTAGTTCTAGTTCTATATAGCAATCAAAGACAAAAGCTCCATGAACTCAACAACGTCTCAATCAAAATTTGAAAAAATGATTTGATTACAAAATGAAAATTTAAAAATGTGTGTGCTTTTTTTATATATATATATATATATACATATAAAATAACTATAGTTATTTTGAAGAATTAGAAAAATTATTTTTTTTTAAGTCAAATTTACGTCAAATTGTACTCATAGATAAAAGAAGAGTATTGTTACTAGTAGCGTTGTTACTTATATTGGTATGGTATGGTATGCTTACCAATGCTTACTTATCTATGGTATGCACCCATAGACCTTATACAATTGTATAAGGTCTATGATTCGCTACAAAGTAAAACTAAAACGCGACGTGTGCTGCCACATGCGGCCAACGAATTGAAATACCGACTTGAATGATTGCGCAATTAAAATAATCGAAAAGTGCTCATGCCTACTCGCTTGCACCAGTCTGTCAAGTTGGGACAGCAACATGTGCAAGTCGCAGGTTGCGCAAGAATACAGTTACGTCTGTGTCCGGCTTCAATAACCAAATAAAATATTTGAAAATACTTTTTCATCGGCTCACTAGCGCCAAATCTGCGACTACAAATGGACCCCCAAGTATTCCTTCTGAAAAGAATTTTGTTCTAAGTGAAAAGGCCCGGCATAGCATATGTTGGCATATGTGATTAGTTGATGTCAAAGTAAAACTCCATTGTCTTTTGTAACCTCTTTTAAAACTGTGGTTAATTTTTTAAGAAATATGTTGTGGCATGTTTTATTCCAATATATTCAATATAACATACTCCAAATTATGTAAGTAAAAATAAGTTAATGTCGTGTGTATTATTACTCTTGATCGATATTGAGAACTATTTAAATTCTTATTATTGAGTGTAGTTTAATTTGTATGTTTAGCATAATAATGATGTAGCATTAATGAAGCGACAGCGATCCAATTTGCTGTTATATCGGTCTATTAAAATATGTAATGTAGACATGGAATCAGGGAATGTCTCATGCATTAAATAAAAATTATGCTTCTCAATGTCAGATTGATTTTTTTAGTATTTAGTGAATCAACCCTTTCAACATACCATGCATGGATATTGTGATCAGATGGACTAATTTATATGAATAATCCTTATAAAAAATTGAAAGCATTATCAGTGTTAATAATCAACTACAAATTAAAAAATAATTAAATGATCGAAGGACTGCTGCTTTGGTAAAGAAAACTTTCTAAATTTTTTAACAAATAATTTAGGAATTTGCATCACACACTCCTAGGAAAATGTTCCTAGAAACATGTAGATACAAAATTATTTTTTCTTCCAGTACAAGCAAAGCAAAATTTATTTCTGATATGTGTATCATTGTTAACTATAATTCAATATAGCATCACAACTTTTCACAATTACAAGAATGGTTTGATATTAGCTTACAAATGGTTTTAATTGTGACGAAGTTAATCTACTAGAGCCAAATCTACATATGTCATATTTATAACTAGTTTCATTTTATAACTTAGTATCATCATGTTTAGAATCTTTAAGAACTTTGTACATGAAAATATGCTTTGCATGGAATATGTCCTAAGACATATATTTAACAAAAAGTATTTTGGAATACACCTGGACTTTGAAGAGATTTAACTGCAATACCTTACCCTGTAGAGATCATTTCAATAGAAATTAATAAATAGCTAGACTAGTATTCATTCTTATAAAAAACTATTTGAAACATATTTCTTACTGAATAGGTGGTCTGTACTATCAACCAATAATAAGTTACCACTTCTTTAGTGTCCTCCAACCTGTTTATTCATATGGGAAATCTGAGTGCCCGGCCAAAAAAAGTAGCATTCAGATTATTTATTGCGTGCAAAATAAAATCTCAAGATCTAAACGCACCCAGATAGCATTGTAAATGAAGAAATAAAATTGATATCTGACAAGTACAAAATGAGAATTTGTAATCATTCTAATGTTAGGAGTAAGGTGTTCTTACCCGAAGCACAGATTTGGTTTTAATTTTGTTTATTACTATAGTAATAAATAATAAGATATATCTCTACTCAATTTTTTTTCATATATAATTTTATATAATTTACATATATTATATAATTTTATTATGATTTTTAGTCTTTAACTGTGAACTATGGAATGTTACATACAAGGTTTATTGACATTATATTTTTAATATATATATATATATATATATATATATATTATTTTTTTGTGATAAGGTTTTTCAGCCACAAGTCGAAAAAATAAAAACAGAGCGTAAATATTAAATCTTCTTTAATACGTTTCGAGCTATTGTATTAGCTCATCATTCAGCAAACCAGTTTATTTTTATGTTTTAAAGAGGAAATAAACAATATCAAGATATATATATAGATATATATATATATATATATATATACATATATATGTAATAAAAAAATATATAAAATATAAAGCAGTATATAATAGATTAAAATCTTTATTGCAGATACGGACTTTAAAACTCGCTCTAAAACGTAGAATAAATTTTAATATCTTACAATGAACAATGCATATGGAAACAATACAATTCAAGACCTATGTGAAGATACAAGTACGAGCAACTTAGAAGCCAATAATCTATACATGGATCATGCCCAATGTAATGCAACAAATATCAGTAAAAATAATCATTAGATTATGCATGTGTGTGTGTGTGTGCATTTGTGCATGTGATGTGTAGGCGTGTGGGCATGTATGTGTGCGTGTTACAACACAGATTGTCCTTGTATTACGAGTTGGCTTTGAAAAGATAGATAATAAAACCTGGTAATAAATAGATCTTCATTAAGAAGGGCCATAGGGCATGTGTTGATGCAGATGGGAAACAATTTGAATTTTTATTAGAATGAATATAATTTTTTTTTATTATAAATTTTTATTCGCATATTTCACTATTATACAATCCAGATTAATTAACAGGCCTACCTTTGATGAAACTTATCAACGCACTTTAGTACATATGTTTTAAACACCCCAGTCAAATTAACAAATTGCTGGAACTTCATGTACGGGAATTTAATATTATTAAAGATCAGATAAAGACTTTTTGGATTTTTTTAATTTTTTGATAATTTTGTAAACATTTGAAAATTTTGAATACGAGACAGTCAAAAATATCTGATTGTTGAACACCAAATGGCATTTTTAAAACTTTTTTCTGCAAAACCAATTAATTCTTTATTACATCAATACAAGTGGAAAGTTTTTTGAATCATTCAAATCGAATGCTTTGCTTACTCACAAACTCCGTTTTCTGCACTCTTTTTTCTTATCTCCAGATGGCTAGACCAACTTATCAGCATAATTGAATGGATATTTTTTATCTATAAGAATTGAATGTTTTTTAAAGTGAAAGTGGCATTTAGCCTTAATGCAAGTTGCATGAACTTCCCGAAATGTGTTGTAATTGACTAAATCAACCGAAATTGAGATTAAGATATTTGGATAAAATTTTCAACTTCTTATTTCGAATGTAAGTTTTTGCTTTCAATTAAATCTAAATATTTCTATTTTCAATTGATATCTCTCAAACATATTTAAATTTTCTTAATTATTTTAATTATATTGCACTTACACATACTTATATATCCTAAAATCGTAGTTTATTATTCCAAATTTTGATGAACTGACAATGTTTGACTCTTCACATCACAAAAGCAACTTTTGACACAAATTTTGACCATATTTATTCAAATTTTGATGAATTTTTAAAATTATTCTACTTGCCTATAGATCATACTCTTTCTATAGAACTTTCACAAATTTTTAAAATTAAACGACTTGTCGTAGGGCCTTAACATTTTAGTATGATCTAAAAAACCATGATATCTATCATCAAAAAAAAAAAAAATCATAAAAATCGTCAATTTTTTTTGAACAGTTAATTACAAGAACTTGTGTCAGCAAATCCTTACCAGAGACAATCAGGTCGATTCTCAACCAATATCTTTCGAGCAGTTTTTGAATTTTTAAAATCGATTTCGAATTGCGGGCTAAAACGTGGACGAAATAATGGACCAAATGTTTTTCACTTTTCTGCTATTTACGAAAAACGGCGTGGCCGATCGTCGCGCAAAACTGATAAACACTAGTCCTTATCGAGTTACAGCCGTCTGAGAAAACGTCGATGAGAAGTCAAAAATCTGATCACGCACATACTTTATCCGAATTTGATCTCATTCGATTCAGAATGGCTTGAAACGTCGAAAAAATATAAAATTAGCAAATCGTATTTTTTTTATGAAAATTCGTATAGAGATGAAAATTGGTACAGATGTTAAATATGTCTTTACGAACGAAATGTCAAAAGTCCCCATTGATCCGAGCTTTCCGTTATTTTTAATCCAAAGTCAAAGGGACAAAATACTTTCTTCCATTTTTATAGGAAACTATAAGAACTATCATAAAAGTTCATGAGACAGATTTATATATTATAATTTATTTAGAATCACCATTTGTGAGATATTGCCATTTGAAAAGTTGAAAGATTCATATTCTTCATAATATGCAGTCTTTATACGTCATATAAATATACGGTCTTTATACATATAATATAAATAAAAAAATAAGGGTCTCTATTGGTTTGTATTTAGATAGTGTAAGTTTAACGAGGTATTCTTAGTATCAATCTATAGCCTCTAATTACTTTCCCCTTAACATCCGCTACCTATGTCATTTCCAAGTGTGGCATGTCTGATAGTTTTTAAAGAGAGTAAATGAAATAACTAACTAGTGGTGTGTGGCATTGCGCCTTAAGGCAAATTGCTATAATAACTTCTTGTTTCGCAATGAAATATTTGAGGAATATTAAATGTTTTCACATAGATTATTATAAAAACTGTAACTTATATATATTTATAGAAAAGTAAATAAACAAAATTAATCAATCGAATTTAAAACCAGTGGTGTATTCCATCGTGCCTTAAGGCAAATTTCTGGAACTTCCCGTACCGTAAGAAAATGTTCGAGGAATAGTAAATGTTTTTGAATAGATTATTATAAATGCTGTGACATTGTCTGATATTTATAAGAATTGAATAGTTATTTAGTTATTTATTTGAAGTATATAAGTAAGTTATTTATTTGAAGTATATAAGTAAGAACTTTATCAAGAATTGAAATTAATATCTGAATTATTTTCGATATACAAAAAAAAATTAATTTTTTTTTTTCCAAAAGCAATTGTTTTGCCAACACAACCAGAAAGTCTTTTGAATCATTCAAATCGAATCTTAGTTCTCTTAAAAACTGCCATTTTTTGTACATTTAGCTTCGTATCTTCGAAACGGCTAGCTAGACCTGCCTTTGCCAAAAACTAATCACCACTTTTCTCGATCATTACGAATTGAATGTTTTTTAGATCATTCAAATCAGTTCATTCCCTCAAAAACTCGATTTTTATTTTCTGCACTATTTGCTACTGAATCTCCGTAGCAGCTCGATCTGCCTTTGCCAAAAAATAATCAGCACCCTATCAATAGGAATTGAATGTTTTTTGAACCATTCAAATCGATTGATCCGTGCGCCCAAAAACGTGGACGAAAAAATATATACAAAAGCCACACACACACACATCAATATTTTTTAGGTGTGTCAAAATGTTCAGACCTGAAAATATGCAAAAATTTTCATTGACGATTTTCGGCCCATTTATAATTTACCGTAGGCTAGTTACAGTACCCTACGGGAGGTTAAAAATTTAGGACATTGCCTAATATTTATTAGAATTATATAAACTGAATTGCAAAGTTAAAATTATTTATTTGAAGTATATAAGTGAGCTTCAGAACTTTAGCTAGAATTAATTAAATTTCGAATAATTTTTGATATTCAAAAAAAATCCCAAAATCTTAGAAAATTACCTTAACAAACTTCAGGAAGATTTATGAAATTCCGAATAATAGTTTAAGAGGATTAACCATTCATACCCCATTACAGAAGAATTTTATATAAAGATATTTATTGGATGATTCTGAATTTAATGTTGACATATGTATTCCAAGTATGGATGTACAATAAATTTTTGAAAGAAATTCATGTTTTGATTGATGTTATTACTAGACTTTGTCAAAATATCTATACATATATATATATATATATATATATATATATATATATATATATATATATGTATGTATTTTGATGAGTTATTTAGAATAGGGCAGTATGTATATATATATATATATATATATATATATATATATATATATATATATATATAGGATTCTGTTACTGCCCGATTCTAAATAACTCATCAAAATATATATATATATATATATATATATATATATATATATTTTGTAGAGTTTCGAACAAGAATCCAAAAATAATACAAAATAAAAAAACAAGAAAAGTTTTTAATAAACAATTTCTTTATTTAATTATTTGTTTACTGTCAACGTTTCGGAACTAGGTACGTTCCATCTTCAGGACATCTGTCAAGAAACATGATCTTGATGAGATTTAAGCAAACAATATGTTTAGGAATAGAAAATAGATTTTTCTTAAATAATAAATTAATTGTAACAAATAATAATGTACAGAAATATGATAATATGATCAAAATGAAAATGATAAAAATAAATGAGTGGATTATCAGAACAGGATATTAAAAATGATAGAAATTTTTTATGAAAGTTATGGAAAAAATTTTTTAAGAAAAGATTAATGATAAAATTGAATTAATTACCTGTATGTTTGAATAAACGTTAGCACTTTTTCACTAAACAAGAATTTTTAACAAAAAATGAATTTGTGAGTTATTTTTCCGCCGAATAGTTAACTTTTGTAAATCAAAATTACTAAAAGTGTTGTCTTTTTTTAAATTTTTATTTGAAAACAAATAATATTGTTTTCTCGATGTTATACTATTGGCTTTTGGAAGCAAACTAAATGAATTTGATGGTTCATATGTAACACGTGTAAACACTTGGAACGCGAACTGTGAGATTGTATGTGTGTGTTTTTTTTATGTTAGGGTGTAAATACTTGAATTATTGAACTTAAAAGGAAGTCGATATTAATTGTTTGTCAAAAAGTGTAAAAAATTTAAATATGAATCATGTAATAGGTTGTGATCTGATCTAATGTTGACACTGTTAGAAACATTCAAGAGAATAAGACAACTCTCCGCGAATAATCTCCTAAAAATGCAACTTTCATGATTTAAAATCTTTGGAGTGAAATTAAATGAATGGGCGTTTTCAATAGAGTGTTGTACTAGGGTACTTTTGAATATTTTTTGTTTATGGTGGACCACACTTAGTTCATGTTGTCTCATTCTCTTGTGTACATATTGCGAGGTTTGTCCAATATATTGAAAAGCACAGTCATTACAAGAAACAGAATATACTACATTAGTATTGAAATTGGATGGGGTAGGGGATTTAATGTTCGTAAAGAATTGGTTGAAGGAGTGTAAGGATGAGCCTGATACTAAAATGTTTTCTTCTAACAAAATTTTGGCAAAATAATAATATAAATCTTCAACGTATGGCATGCTGCAGTAAATAAGATTGGTGTTTTTGATGTTGGTACTGGTATTGGGAGAATTAATTTGTGTTTTTAAAAAAGTTCGTCTTTTTTGAATAACTGAATGAATGAGATTTTTTGGGTAACCATTTTCAATTAGAGTTATTTTTACTAGGGATAAATTTTGTGGATGGAAAGTTTGGGTGAGACAACAAAATAGCATGGTCTGTAAGGGAAATAATAGTGTTTATCTTATAGTTTCTGGGACAGTATGAGGAATAGTGTAAGTATCTACCCGACCATGTAGTTTTTCTATACCAATTTGTTCGAATAAAGTTATTAGTGTTGTAAACGGATACATCCAAGAAATTAAGTCTGTTGTTATTTGTAGTTCATGTGTGAAAGTTATATTATTGTTAAAGTTATTGAAAAGATCTAGTACTGTGTTTATATGATTTTGTTAATGATAAAAAAAGTGTCAGCTACATATCTAATATAAAAGTTAATTTGAAATTTTAAAGTTGAGAAAACGGAAATTTCTAGTGTTTGTAAGACTAAGTCGATAATTCCGGGAGATAAGGGACATCCCATAGCTGCGCCTTTAATTTGAGAATAAAAGTTGTCTTGGCAATGGAAATAGGAGTAATTTAAAATAGTGTTGATAATATGAGTGAAGACTGTTTTCGGAAAGTCAGTAAAGTTACAAATTGTGTGCCAACGTTTATCGATTGAGTTTAGGATTAATTCATGTGGGACACATGTAAAAAGGTTGACCACATCTAAGCTTAGAAATAAGTGATTTTCAGGGATGTTGCGGTTATTAATTAAATTCACAAATTGGTACGAATTCTTGACATAATAGGGAGAATTGATTGTAACATTTTTTAGGACATCAGAAATGAGTTTCGAAATATTGTAAAAAGGTGAGCCAATGTAGGAGACAATCGGTCTGAAAGAGCATTCAGGTTTGTGTATTTTTGGAAGACAGTACATCTTAGGGGAGATAGGGTGTTGTATTTTTAGGTTAAAAGCAAAATTCTCAGAAATTAGTTTTTTGTTTAAAAATTTTAAAAAAGACAACACTTTTAGTAATTTTGATTTACAAAAGTTAACTATTCGGCGGAAAAATAACTCACAAATTCATTTTTTGTTAAAAATTCTTGTTTAGTGAAAAAGTGCTAACGTATATTCAAACATACAGGTAATTAATTCAATTTTATCATTAATCTTTTCTTAAAAAAATTTTTCCATAACTTTCATAAAAAATTTCTATCATTTTTAATATCCTGTTCTGATAACCCACTCATTTATTTTTATCATTTTCATTTTGATCATATTATCATATTTCTGTACATTATTATTTGTTACAATTAATTTATTATTTAAGAAAAATCTATTTTCTATTCCTAAACATATTGTTTGCTTAAATCTCATCAAGATCATGTTTCTTGACAGATGTCCTGAAGATGGAACGTACCTAGTTCCGAAACGTTGACAGAAAAAAAATAATTAAAGAAATTGTTTATTAAAAACATTTCTTGTTTTTTTATTTTGTATTATTTTTGGATTCTTGTTCGAAACTCTACAAAATATACACAAATCCAAGATTCTACCATTCAATATATATATATATATATATATATATATATATATATATATATATATATTGTTTAATATGAACAAAACAGCACTCAGATTTTTTTATCACAACTTTATTTTATTATTACAAACGTTTCGAGGCTAAGGTGTGCCTCATCATCAGTGTAATTTCAATAACAGTTATTTATTACTAAACATTCTTTTTAATATTTTATTTAAAACTAAATTTGGACTTTTTAATATAAAACATCAACTATACCTTGCATTGGCAAGGTCACTTAGTCTCGAAACGTTTGTAATAATAAAATAAAGTTGTGATAAAAAAATCTGAGTGCTGTTTTGTTCATATTAAACAATTAATATTCGTTCCACTCATATCATAAAATTCTATATATATATATATATATATATATATATATATATATATATATATACATGTGTATATTTTAGGTATTGCATATCAAGATATAACAGTCACTCTGACTTCAAAACTCACACCCACTGCCCCTGAATTTATTCCTAGAAATGCCGTTCCATTTTGTATAGTTCCTGCACAGAGTAATAATATTTCTGGGGCTGAATGCCAAGATCACTCAGCATCGCTCTCACAAAATGACCAACTTTCGCGAAGTTGGTGGAAACAATATAAGCCATCCCTTGATACAAATTTCATAAAATATTCTGAACCATATAGAAAATGGAAATTATTAAACAAAGAAAAAAAAATTATGATAGATTATAAACATTCCAATCAGGGCATTATTAACAGTTCACCAGATGAAAATATGGCAGAGTTAAACATGGTATCACAAAAACTTGATAATGCAAAGAATTATAATTACAAGAGAAAATGTAACTCAGGAAATTTTTTATCAAGAAATATGGTAGACTCAGAAAGTTCACACAATTCTAGATGGAATCCAAATAGATACTCGATTAAAGAAGTTCATACCAAAAAAAATACAAATTCGTCTGATTTAAAAAATAATTGGAAAGAAAAAAATAATCAATTTAAAAGTCTTGGAAAATCATATAATGCGAAAAAAATGAACACTGAATATTCTAATTTGAATACTGCAATGATAACCCAGCGAGAAAGCTTAAAGTTTTCATTAGATAAAGGTAAATTTTAATGCTTCAAAAGTACACTAATAAAAACACGAATGAATTTATTTTTTCAGTGATAGGTTTGGCTTTTCAAACTCATCAGGTATTGATTACATTCTGAGGCATACCAAAATAATCAGAAGCCTTTGAAAAGAATATTAAAATTTAAAATAAAATATTTTTGTTTTGCAACTTTGGTATTACATTATATCATTATAATTTTGGTTTTCATTGCTTACACAGTCTAAACAATGTTTTTAATGTTTTTCTAATTTGGATTGCTTGATTCAAGTAATATTCATATTTCATTTATATCACTGTAAAACATAAGAATGCCTTCCAACGGATTATATTTTTTTACATTTGTTATACTTACTGCAAGCATTTTTTTTAATGAATACTTTTTCTTAGGTACCTTGGAATGTCTTGTGTGCTGTGAATATATTAAAACATCTCACTCTGTTTGGTCTTGCTTAGGCTGTTTTCATGTTTTACATTTAAATTGCATAAAAAAATGGGCTCAGACAAGTAAAGCAGGTAACTATTTTATGATATTCTTCAAATAATATTACATGTATAATTATGTGCGGATTAAATATTGTTTAATTTTTTAGTCCAATTTTTTAGTATAATTTATAATTAATATCCTTATATATATATATATATATATATATATATATATTGTATGATTCTGAATTTGATGTTGACATATATATTAACAAAGTCTAATAATCGGGCATAACATCAATAAAAAACATGAATTTCTTTCAAAAACTTATTTTAAATCCATACGTTTCGGTTATAATCCTAGCCTTCATTCAGTGGAAACTAAAAATAAAATTAAAAACTAAAACAATTGAATTGGAGTGAAAAAAAAATAAAAACAGTAAATAGTACTTACAATTAGTTAATCTTAGTGTTAAATTGGAAAATTTTAATAATCCATGGTATCAGGATATGGTAATGCACTACACTATGTATTATAAACATTAACTTGAAATTACACAATATTTTCACAAAATACTAATTTTAAAAAATCACAAATGGATAGTGTGTTATTCATAGACTGGTTGAAGATATAATGGAGAAAGACATTTTTAAAAAATATTTTTACCAAGATTCTACACATGTGTGGAACGAATTGCGAATCCTTTGCGCGACGCTTTTATTGTTTTGTAAGAAATTTGGAAATGTTATCTAAATAGAAGAGATTTGTGTCGCACAGCGTGTTAAGTTCATTCCGTTTATTTATTGTCTTATTGTTATAAATAGTTAAAAAAGATCCTTCTATAATTCTTTGTTTAAATAAATTTTGTTCGAATTGTAGTACAGTCGGGTTAGAAAAGTCCATATTGTGTTTTAAAGTATAAATATGGTCAGCAAGTACAGTTTTGAATTGTCTTGGGTTTTTTGAATTGTTTTTATGTTGTAACCGTTTATTCAAGTTCTGGCTAGTTTCTCCTATGTAAATTAAATTACAATCTAAACAATTTATTTGATAGACGAGATTTCTAAGTCATTTGATTTTAAAAAGGGTTTTTGTTTTGGTAAAAATAGTGCTAGTAGTTGTACTAAAATTGGTTACAAGTCGGAGTCCAGATTTATAAAAAAGTTTTTTCCAAGAAACATACAATTCTTTAATGTATGGCAAACATATTACACTAGAATGAGTTTCTGAGTCAGGTAAAACGTTATGTACTGTGGAATTGTCCATTTTATTCAAAAAGTACGTTCGTCTATTACTAGTTACGGAATTTATAAGTTTTAAGGGATAGGAGTTATCTGTTAGAATTTTTGTAATTAAATTGATGTTGTTGTCCCAAAATGTTTTGTCCGATAGAAGTATTGCGTGGTCAGTTAGATTTACTATAGTACCTATTTGCATTTTGAGTGGATGACAAGAAAAGTAATTAAGGTAACGTCCAGAGTTAGTTGGTTTTTGGTACCAATTTGTTATTAGTTTGTTATCCGTAGTATGTATAAGTTTTATGTCTAAGAAACTTATCGAGTTCATTGCCTCCAATTCTACTGTAAATTTTAATTTTTTATTGACGTTATTAAATTGATCAATTATCATAGTGACTTCATCACTAGGGATACAAGTGATAATGTCATCTACATAACGGTAATAAAAAACCGTAATTCTTATCGTAATTTTTAAAAATTGTATTTTCAAGAAGTTGTAAAGATATTTCTGCTAGAGATGGACTTGCTGGGGACCCCATTAGCGCCCCAAAAATTTGATAATAGAAAGAGCCATTGAATTCAAAATCAGTGTTAGAGACAATGAAGTTTTGCTAAAATGTAGTAAGTTTCTTTGTTCACGAACGTTCCATGGGATCTTGCGTTGGATGCCATTTCGGATCGTTGGAATGAAATCAAACCACTTACAACTATTAATTTATTTTGGTTTAAATACATTTTAAAGTTCATATTCAATAATACATATTTCTGTTTTGACAATAATTTTTTTTTTTTTTTTTTTTTATTTATTATTTAATAGACAATCAGAAGACAAAGTTTCTATTAGCCTATGTGATAAATTATATTTGGCGTTTAGAGGTCTCCTCCATTGAAGAGATCCTCTGCTAGAATTATTCTATAGCTGTCTGTATATAATTTAATATTGCAGGTCCTTTGGCCATTTCTTCTTGAGTCTTCTTGTTTGAACCATTTTGTTGATAATTTGTATTTCAGCGTTCGAATGATCATCGATTTTGTTGTGATAAGAACAGCTCCGGGTCTTTATAATTTCATTTACAGTTTTAATTTCCAGGTCCCTGTGGATGGTCTCATTAGTTACGTACCAAGGCGCATCTACCATTGCCCTTAATATTTTGTTCTGGGTACGCTGTATAATTTTTATGTTTGATGCACTTGCACATCCCCATAATTCTATTCCGTAGCTCCATATTGGTACTAGTACAGTTTTGTATATTAAAGTCTTGTTTGCGTATGACATTTTCGATTTTCTGCCAATTAGCCAGTACAAATGTTTGAATTTTTTCATTGTTTGTTTGCTTTTTGTTTGATATGGGGACCCCATGTGAGTCTACGGTCTAGATGTAGCCCTAAATAATTAATGCTGGTACTAGGAGGAATTTCGATGTTATTTATAAATCACAGTTTTGAGTTCTCGTTGTAAACGTGATATGTTTTGATTTGTCTTCATTTATACTTATTTTCCATTCTTTGAGCCATTCTTCAAGTGCGAATAGATGTTCTTGTAAGTTTAGAGATGCGATTACTGGATCTTGATGTGTTGCCATGATCATTGTGTCATCCGCGAATGTACCCGTAATTGTGTTGTTATGTGTTGGTAAGTCGTGTGTATATACTGTGTATAAATTGGTCCTAATACACTACCCTGTGGTACTCCCGATTTTATTGGATGAAAATCTGATACTGCATCTCTTACCCTTGTCCTGAAGTATCTACCAGTCAAGAATGACTTCAGTATTTATATAATTGATTTGGTAAGCATTTTTTAATTTTGGCTATCAATCCATCATGCCACACTCTATCGAATGCTTGTTTTACGTCGATGAATACCGCAGAGCAATACTCACTGTCTTCAAAAGCTTTGTGAATGATTGAAGTTATCCTATGAGCCTGTTGTATAGTGGAGTGAGATTGTCTAAAACCAAATTGATGATCTGGTATCGCGGTAAGATTTTCTTGGATTCTTACTAGTAATATTTTTTCCAATAGTTTAGATATAACCGGTTGAAGACTAATTGGTCTGTATGAATTAGCCATATGACTAGGTTTACCTTGTTTTTGTAACATTATTACTTCGGAGTTCTTTAGGTCCTTTGGCCAATATCCCAAACGTCGTACTCCATTGAATATATAAGTCAGCATTATTAGACCTTTTCTTGGCAGTTCTTTCAAAATTTTAGCATCCAATTGATCAATTCCTGGACATTTCTTGTTATTTAAAAGTGAAATTTGTCTCTTAATTTCTTTTGGTGTAACCTGTTTAATGTTTTCAGTAGTGCCTTTTATCTCATTAACTTCATCAGATACTCGCGGTTGTTGACTATTTTCATTTGGAGTAAATACGTTTCTTAGATAGTCCGCAAACATATTCGCCTTTTCTTGATCACTCCTAGCCCATGGTCCTTCCGAATCTAATCTTATTGCCGAGTTAGTTGTTATAGGTCTTCTAGTTTTTTTAATTGGTGTCCAAATCGTGTTATCATACTTGTTAAGATTAGTAATATAGTTCATTATGCCAATTTCTCTCCCCTGTTTTAATTCATGTTTAAGTTTTCTTGCCAAATTATTGTATATTGTTTTATCGTGCTGGTTATGACTTCTTTGCCAGACATTTCTTGCCTTTCGTTTATCCTTTATAAGCTGCCTAATTTCCATTGGTACGTTGATTTCCAGTTTATGTTGCGCTAGTTCTGGTGTGGCAAACCTAGCGGCTTGTTGAAGAGTACTTATAAACTGTTCAGTTATTTCGTCGAGATCGTTTTCATTTTTAATTCTTACTTTAAGGTTGATTTTTGAATCAATTACATTTCTGAAACACTCCCAATTCGTTTGTGGTTGTACAGTTTGCGTTGTACCTTCCGTTTTATTACATTAGTACTTAGGGTCAAAATTATGGGCGTATGATCCGAAGATAAGTCTTCATTACTTTCTATATCAATATAATTACTTGAAATATTTTTTGTTATAAAAAAATCTAGCAGATCCGGTATCTTCTGTATGTCTGTTGGCCAGTAGGTGGGACTCCCAGTTGTTATTATGGTATAGTTTTTCTCATATATTAACTCTGCCAGTTGTTTACCTTTGGAGTCGTAAGTCTTGAGCCCCATATATATTTTTAGAGTTGAAGTCACCACCAACTATAAATTTATTTCCTAATGTTTCAAAATATTCTTCATAATCGTTTTTCTTTAGATTATATCGTGGAGGGCAATAGATGGCTGAAACAATCATATTGTGTTCGAAACCTTTTATTTTAACTGATGTTGCCTGTATATGGTTTTGTTGATATTTCGCTAACTCATAGTGTTCTATTGATGATTTTATTAGAATACCAGCCCCAGCGTGTGCTGTGTTGTCAGGATGATTAGTACCATAAAAGTTGTAGAATGGAATTTTTATGTATGAAGACTCTGTGAGATGAGTTTCGCTTATTAATAAGATGTCAATCATTTGTATTTGAAGAAACATAGTTAATTCATTTAGATGATTTAGAATGCCATTTGCATTCCATTCAGCAATCCGCAGTGAGTTAGCCATTATTTCTTAGCCAAAATAGTGAGCATCTGCATGATCATATTATTTTGTTCCATGAGTTGTTTAAACATATCTCTAAAACTGTTCAAGAAATCCTGTAGTACCGTACTTGTTTCGGGCCCGCTGGTTGCGTTTCTTTGTTGATTTCGGATGACTTCCGAGTAGCTCATGTGATTTGTGTTTCTGATGTTAATATTTTGACGACTTGTGTTTGGATCATGATATCTCTCGTATCATGTGATTTTTTTGTTGTATATGTTTTCTTGTAAGCAGTGGAGTACGCGGCCTTGTATTCTTCGCAACCTCTGTAATTTGAGGGGTGATCTTTACCGCAAAGTGCGCACGTAGCAGGCGTACTTTTTGGTTTTACGCAAATTTTTGAGTTATGATTTTCTCCACATTTGACACAAGCAAATGGTCGATTGCAATATGTTTGCAATGACCATAATTTTGGCATTGTGCATTGTATTAATCCTTTTCTCTTTTGGGCGCTTCAATTACTACAATATGGTTCAACAACTTCGTGATATTGTAAATTTCTTTATTATTATCAGAGGGTTCCAAATCAACAAAAAACATGTTGAGTGGCTTTTAGTTATATACGATCTCATATTTATTATATTTCTGACCTTGTGATTTTTCTTCTCTAGTTCCGTTTTTATTTCGTTGATATCGTATGTATGATGGATATTTTTGAGTACCACTCTGTATGCTCTTTCATTTCTAAGTTGATAAGTATGATAAACAGTACCTTTTGTTTTGAAAAAGTTATAAGCAGCTTGTATTGCTCGGGCTGTTGAACATTTATTTTCACTGTATCGTCCGACATTGATTTTGTATAATATTGTTCTCTGTTTATTACACTATTAATATCAGATACCATATCAGAAAAATTATTTACATTATATAGAAATATAGGAGGTGGCCTTGTAGTTTTCTCGGTGTTATCAGTTTGTGTTTTTGTTGTTTCGGACGGATGACCTTTGTTTGTTTTTAATGCATCGAACCTGTTTCGAGTCGGCGTTATGTTTACATTTTCACATTTATTTATTAGCCGATGTGCGTCTGCGTTTGCTGCCTGGTTCTATTGTTTGCCAAGAAGTTGACGGAACTATTTCGTTCATAATCGTATCGTCTGATTGATTTTTGTCATTAATTGAACTATTAGTTTTCTGATTGATGATTACTTGTTTGCTGCCTGGTTCTATTGTTTGCCAAGAAGTTGACGGAACTATTTCGTTCATAATCGTATCGTCTGATTGGTTTTTTCCATTAATTGAACTATTAGTCTTCTGTTTGTTGATTACTTGTTTAATATATTCATTGTCCATCGTCGACGTATCATGAAGAATGTTGATAGTTTCAACTAACGGAGGGATAGAATAAGTTATATTTCTTGATTTTGCATACTTGTAATAAAATTATTCACTTATTTACAATTAAATGCCCCCCCTAAAAGGGGCATTTGTTGTACGAAACACTGTATCACTACACTAGATATTTGGTGATTAACAATCACACTTGTTGTTTACGTAACACTATTGCGCACTATTGAATTTCAGCTTCGATCCGTTCGGGTCGGCTGCTCGAGCTCAACTAAAATAAAGTTTTTGCTCAGATTTTGGGTATGTCATGGTTTTCTAGAAATTAGTCCTCCTTTGGCAGATTTAACTTACAATACTTGAAAATTTTGTTCTACCCAAACTTCTGTTTTCAACCTTCTTTACTTTAGAAATGTTGATGGACGTTCTCTTGTGTTTAGAAAACAATCCATCTCCTCCACTCTGATTCCTTTAATTCTTTTAACAATCATTAAAGTTTACTTGTGAGTTTGAAGATGACAATTCCATTAGTTTTAGATATTAAACTTATTAGACACCAAAACAATTATATTTTAACTGATTGGTTTCAAAAACCAACTTCTTCTGGTAGAACATTAACTACTTATCGTTCATTCTCGTTCTGTAAAAATTTCCATCATCATTTGTCTTATTGATAGAGTCATTCTTTTAAGGGTTAGGGGGTACTTGCAGGCACGAAAAAATGAGTGTTTTCAGTATTTTTTTCTTGTTATTAAACGATGTTTTTCTACAAAAATATTAATACAGTATATTATACAATGTTTTGACTTGATGTAACGAAAATTTCAGAAAGAAAAAATCAATATTCCCAAAGTTATAGCTGTTTTTGTTGACCCTGTTTCGAAAAACGGTCCTGGCGGTGACCATCATAACTCCTTGGAGATTCATCTAAAATCAATCAAATTCAAAAAATAGTTTTATGAATAGTTAATCCCGGGCCGGATCGAAGGTTTTCTTTTTTGCAAAAATTACAAA